TTTGGCTTTATCTTATTATTGTTGTTAACTACAGTATTCCTCCTTCCCCTCCCTTTATACATATCCCAGCCCACTTTCACAGCCCGATTTTACAGACAAATGATAGAAAATATCTTACTAAAAAACATTTCAGTTGAATTTCCAAAATGGAACATTTTAATTGAGATTCAAATAAGAAATATCAGATTCCAAGGAATAACTTAAAGGGACATCCAACTTAAATTGTCTTTGAACTTCTGTATCACAAGTCACAGGTTTTTCCCCGGTTTGTTTCAGCATGAGAGAGTACTTCAGGCAGTCTGGTCATTTCTCTTGCAGTCAGAATAATCTTTCACTTTTGCCTCTGTTGGTTTTAATAAACCAGAAGAGGGGGAGAAATTTTAAACCAGGAAACTAATTAATATGCAGTGAAGCTGCCAGACTGATTGAGCTCAAAGCCCCCCACACCCCCAATTTTTCTAGCATTCAGGTTGGTGTTCCTTTAAGTTCAAAACGTCCAAACGTCAGAAGTAAACAGTCAGAACTATCCTTTCAACTATTTTTTGCCCATACTTCGCCAAATGAAAATCTTAACTCTTCCCAATCTATTCAGTACATATTATGAGGCATTTACCTCCAAAATTAATGGTGCTTGGGCGTCTCAGACTCATTGGACAAGTTTCATGCAAAAGCCTCCAAAAATAATTCTCCTTCCAGAACGCCCACCTCAGCGATTATATTACACCTACTGTGTGAGGCCAAAGCCCGGACATAGAAGAAGGATCATATCCTGCTGTACAAAACAAAGTGTTAAAGACAAGAGATAAGAAATGTAATAAGGGCAATCTTACATTTATAACGCATGTTTCATTGCGAAGGACTCCAAAGCTAATTATAAACCACATTTACGGTACCTTTACTGACACGGAGCTACCGTAGAGTGCACTCCAGCAAGTTAACAGTGCTGCAGGAAGTTTTAGCAGGTTTGTGGCTTAAAAACAACAGATTCCGCTGGGTGATGCTACCTGAGGAACATTTTGGTGCTCAGGTTTCAATTAAGTTACCCAATTCAGAAATCCAGCGGGATACACAGACCAATGCTCCGATTCACACTTCATATAACCTTTTGACTGAAGTGGTTGGGACCTCAGCTTACACCTCATCTGAGCTATTAGTACCGGCAGCATAGCTGCACCCTGCACAGATGAGGTACACTTAGTAAAATACCAACAGCACTTCCTCATACTGGTAACTTTTCCCAGAAGGTTCCCATACAAACACAGTCCCACCTTAAATTACAAGACTATGGGAGATCAAACAGGTGACATGGCTGTCAGCCACAACCCTAGGGACATACATTCATTTGGGAAGTATTCAGATTAAAGTTTTCAGTTACAATGCTGCTAGTAGGAGGATGTGAAGTAAACCATTTTGGGTAATGGCATGTAAATGATTATGCTTCTGTAGGAAGACTGATACCTCTTCAACTCACATCACCCATGGACAGAAACTCAGTCTTGAACAGACTGGAAACACAAGACATAACATTAGTATCATGAAGTCTGGAACAACCAAATCTAAAGTTTATAAAAGCAAAATTTGTTGAGTCATTTGTAATTACTTTTCCAAGTAATAAGGGGTTTTACTGTTTAAAATTGTTAGATTTTAATCTCTGTTGATTATTCAGACAGAACATTCACAGCTTAAGGTACAGATTGTTTTTCTTCAGCAAGTATGGTTTCAACAGAAGATACTAAAGTGTTCTAAGAAATTTAAAAAGACAGAATTCTTACAATATGCCACATTGAGGCGAAACTGAATATTGCACATATTTAACAAGACCACTAGCCAGATCTTCAAATAGGTAAGGATGATGGGTTATTTTGTTTCATACTGGATTATTTTCTAACTAGAAAGTAGAATTTGTGCCCCTATCAAGTCCAAATTACCTCTCTCCCACTGACTCCCCATTGCAGAAAGCACACTTCTGGATGAGGCCCGATCAGCCTTGAGAGCAGATCAGTGACATTTAGTGTATCAGTCTGAAGATACGAATACTGAGCACAGGGAAGTGCTCCATCCCGTACTGGGCCTCCCGAAGACTGAGTATCATTTCTCTGCATTGTGTTGCTGACGAGAATCACCAAGCATCTGGCATTTCTCTGACTTTATATAATCCAAAATTCTTTTATTTTAGCCCTTATTTTGCTAGTATTTTAAGCTGAAGAAGTTCTTTGTTTACATATAACAGCGCAACACAGTAGCATGTATCAGAGCTGACAGCAGCTGTATGTTCCTGGACAAAATGAAACAAGACTGTTAGCTTCTTGATACTGTGCTTTTTATCTCCCTATTCCAACTGCATTTAAAATAAGGTCTACTTTTAATGATTTGCCCAGCTAACTGCTTTTAACAGCATGCTCTAAAAAGCCAGCCATTAAACAGATTTGCAGAGAAGGCTGTTAGTGCAACATTGAGTGAAGTATCTTAAAATATAAGAAAAATATGCAAGAAAATTAACCTATGGTTCCCACAGCAATAGAAAAGCAGCCTCCTCACATATACAGGTTAAATGATGCTATATAGTATGATGCTGTACAATATTCTATATTCACATGAGGACAATGATGGCCTGTCCCTGCAGCAAGGTGGAGGCTGGGACTCTGGGATCGGACAATTCCAGGACAGCTGAGCAAGGGTGGGTGACAGTCAGGAAGCAGAAAGATATCTCAGGGAAGAGTGAGCAGATCAGGAGCAGAACCATCAGGGAGAACAGAGAAGTTGGAAGAACTGAAAACTAGTGCAAACTTCCTTGAAAAGGTAAGAGTTGCAATTAAGTATCTCCCCTCCCTGCACTGAGTGAATGAAGTCTACTCCCAACATGTCTATCACTGGCTTACATGAAGCATTTTCACTTTCTTCTGTTGGACTCTTTCCTCCCTATTTAAGCATTGCTGGCCTAGTTTTCAGAGGGCTGTGCACCCACATCTCCTGTGAAGGTAATGAGATTTGCAGTATAACAGCACATCTGAAATGCCAGACAACTAACGGCTCATTTTTCAAGCCCGCTATAATCCTGGGATGGAGGCTGTTTTGTAACAGCACGCGCTCTATTCTCATGGCAACATTTTAAACAGAGCTCACCTCCTCAGCCTTATCAGCTCAACTATCTGCAACACCAAGCTTCTGCCCATGTAACATGATGGTCTTCAGCTAACTTCTGTCTAACAAGCACCTCTCAACTCCAGCTAGATAATTGTGTGCACAGCTGCCATGTTAGACCCAGCACTTAGATTCAACCTTAAGCTAGCACATCAGCAAGCACAAGCCCCCAGGCTCTTTAACTTGTGTCTATATCCAAGGTCCTTTAACTTGTGTCTATATCCAGAACAGGACTAGGCACGTTAGAAAGATATAAAGTGAACAGAAAACCCAAATCAAACCCTCTGGAAAAACCTGACATGTTGCTTTAAAACTAAGATTCTTGGAACCGAAGGAAATCAACAAGTGTTTCGTGGTATCTGGTCAAAGCACTGTAAAACTTTTGCAGCGCTGTGCACATGAAACCACCCCAACTCCCCCTCACAGTCAAACAGTCTATTTCTTAAAAGTCCCTTTGTCAAAAAAGGAATTTAAAAATATTTAACAAGCACTTCAGAGATTAAATCAGCTACCTCCAAAAAAATTTCAAGTTGTGTGTCAAAAAAGGACTTCTTCACACCACTTCCCTGGACATCCTATGTAAATATTCCTTCAGAAGAGGAGGTAAGTCCATCTAAAATGCGGTACTAAAAAAAAAAACCCACTTAAAATCCTTTGGAGGAAAGTCTTAGGCTAAAAACCTTAACATGCTCTTTCAGTGGTTATATGCAGTTTTCAGCAAGGGCTTATGAAACTCTGTTTTACCTCTTTGGAGCTTACTGTCTAGCTTCAGCTTGGTGACTCTTGCACTAAGAACTCCCAACTTCCCATCAGAGCTAAAACTTCTATGGAAGACAGTTCTAGTGAAAGGAATCAGTAAGGCTGATATGTCTTACTCTCCATTCATTTTTTATTTAAAGGTTAAAAAAAAATCTTCTGCAGTCCAGCATACAGGGATCTTCTAAGTCATTCACTTCTCATTCTTGCTTGATTTCTGGAATTTTCCACTGGTGCCAGAAGCTCCATCTGGTGGGTGTGTACACTAACTGCAAAACTGAAAGGGAATTAACTATTTCCTTATCAACTTTTGTTTAGTAGTAGAAGTTCTGTACACTGTATGTAATTTCTATGCCCCAATATAAAACACAAAATGGCCAAATTTCGATTGCTCTGGGAACCACAGCTCCTTATTTCTATTCTCAAGGAATAATCTGCTACCTTACACTCTGCTAGGAATTTCTGCTGGGTTTTCTTATTTTGATGACTTAGGCTGAAGTATGTTAAAGAATGCTGTTAGCTAAATCTGAACATTTTCTAAAGAAGGATCTTTTGAACACACATGATAAAAACCACAGCAATTCTGGCAATCTCTACTGCATTCTGAAAAGCAGTTTTAAATGGCATCCATTCTCTAGGGCATGCTATACTTCAGTGTATAGGAAATTTTAAATTAGAGGCACTAGCAGCTCAAGAAGTAGGCTTACACACCTACTGCCATCTTAAATATCTTTTGTGACTGTTCAAGGTCTCAAAAGATAAACGTTTATATGCATCTACATATGTGCAGTGAAATCAATATGTAATATACATATTCAATATGATAGCCTCACTTGTTTAGGGCTATTTCTTAAAGTTTTCAGTTTGAAATGTAATAAAGCCTGCACATCTTGCTGAAATTTGAAATCGAGACTGGAGATCATTGATGCACGAAGGATATTATTTGCTTACTCCATGACATCCACACTTCAGTGATCAGGAAAAAAGGCTGCATGAATATGCTCTACAATTCCAAAATAATCCTCATCTAGATTGTAGCTAAGCATGAACAATCCCAGAATACAAATTATTTTGGAAATATAAGCATGTTTCATGAATTAGCAGTTACCATTTAAATTAAATCAAGAATCATCTTGAAATTTTCAATGCAAAGCTCACAAAAACATTTGGATAATTAAAGCGGCACAGAAGTCTGTAAAATGTGCAAGAACAAAGCATGTAATCAATATACACGTAATTTATGATTGGATTACACTGATTGTGAAACTGCAATCGGATTAGACTGCAAGTGAAAACAGTAGTCCTGTCTTGTGTGTCATGTCTTCCTGACATCACCACTGTGTCAACAGCCAGAGCAGAGACCTGATCCAACTGAAAAGGAGTGTTTTTCAGGCAGAGCAGTTCCTTCGCTCACCCCAGCAGAAGTGCTAGGACTGGTACAAGTAAGGTGGCAGGAAGCGCGGCTCACACCACCCCTTCCAGTGGCAGCGCAGACACAGATATATTTAAACCAATAGTCAAACTGCACCCCTTAGTGTGTCCTAACTAGTAAAATGCATTGCTTGCATGCTGGTATAAGTGGCAGAACAAATCAACGAAACAAAAAGAGAGCATACAAATACTTTAACAAGCTCATCCAAAACCCTGCCAATACATGCTTTCTCAGATAGTAGATATATTAGATATTGAAGGGATCTCGCCAACTGGCTAGCATCTGAATATTTAAAGTGTAAAAATAGTCTGTGAAGTAGGCTGATGCTAATTGTTTTTCCTTTGCCTTACCACTTCACACACACTATGCACAAATGCTGGCATTACACAATTGGGTAAAGTCTGTAAACAAGAGCTTAAAATCAGTCTTACCACTTCACATTTCTTACCTCTTTCCCTTTCTGTCTAAGCATAGCTCCCAAGTGTTCCAATCCCTGACTACATTCCAGCGTTAATCCACCTCAGCTACTGCTGTCTTCGGTCTGACTCAGGAACCTTCGATATTCAAAAGGCTTCATAGCAGCAGCAGCAGGAATGGGGAAACAAAACAAAACAAAAAGATCACAAACTTAAGTTTGACGTTTTAGGGGGAAAAAAGCATTTTAAGACAATTATTTTGCCTACTTAGATTTCAAGAGACTTTTTGCCCCCTTACTGTTGCTGCTATGAATCTGCATCACTAACAACTTCTTTGGCCTAGCTGCAGCACAAGCTAAGAACTATCAGATCCAGAGTCACATCAGAAATTAATACACAGAAGAGGTAAAAAGGGGTGAAAGAAAGAATGCCTGAAGGCTGAGACCTGAAAGAGAGATGAGGAGCTGGGGGTAGGGAAGAAGCATCAAACAGTGAAGCCAGGCTTGAGAGCGTGCCCTTTCCTACATTTAAATGGCTGGCTGAGCTGAAGAGTATTACTTCAGTGGACAGGCTGTTTACACAGTTACTTAATTTCTATTTCTTGTAAATCGTTTTAGATACTACTTGAGAAGTAGATTTTAAATGAAACATTCTGCTACATGATCTGGATAGCCAAGAACCTGCAGGTGTGATGTGTTCACAGAGTCAACTACACAGGTTTAGGACCCAACAGCCAGTATCAGTTTTCATCCAAATCATCTTTAATGCCACCTTAAAAAAAAAAAGTAAGGATATAATTGGTGGTAACTGAAAGTGACTCACTGCAGAAAGAATGGTATTTACTCCACTCTTATTCAAAACCATCAACCGTCATACACATTCAGAAGCACTAATGTGAAATAAGAGTGAGACACTACATTCAAGCCTTGTGTTTGCCTTTCAACATCAGCTAGCTATAGCGAAGCTCTGACCAATGTAGTTTTTTCCTTGAGGCATATGGCCCTCAGGTAGATAAATAAGAGTTACACCCTCTCTAAAAATGTCTTTATTCAAATCTAGAACATTTATTTGGTTTTTATACCAGATCTAAGTACTTCCTGAATGTTCAAAATGAACAGGTCAATTTGGCCATCCTGACTAGGAAAGCAAGGGCATTCTTCCAAAATGTGTCAGGTGAGTCAAACAAACCTTCTATGTATACAGAAGGTACAGGATTTTTTTTTTTTTAAACTTAATTAACTTAATCAGAAGTTCTTTTTCTTCCAATGCATATTCAGACATTTACATTACATTATCCTTAAACCAGTACCTTTTGTTCTCATCTCCATAGCTCATGCTATTATCAGGAAACATACACTTGTATCAACATATTTATTTATATGAGCAGGACTACCTCCACATTAACAATTATACTGTTACAATTACATTAATAAAAAACATACTCAACATTTAAAAAAAATCTAAGCATAGAGCAGATCTTAATTTAACATAATCAAAAATACTGTAGCGCTCGTTTAGATGTGGGCCAACATAGTCAGCTGTTATCTTTTTAAATAAGCATGTTACATGCATCTTAAAAAAAAAATCCCAGAAAACATTGCATAATTAATATAAAAACTCAGCTGAACTAATAATTTTAAAAATACCCCATCTTTGCCCATGCAGATAAAGTAGCGCAAATGACACCTGTGGACCACACTATCAGCCGATCAATTGCAGCCCTATAGCTATTCACTGCCTCTTCCCTGGCAGCCATGTCCTACAGACTTTAGACTATCATCCTCATCATAACTGATACTGTTTTGTTCATTCCTGACGTACAAAATTTTGTCTCTCAAACCAACTTCTTTGCGCCAACTTCTAGTGGCGCAAAGATAACTTCCCCTTTCTCGGGGGGTGGTGGTGTGTGTGGAAACAAAAAACAATAAATTTCCTATCTAAATCTAAGCTAAATCTTATTTGCAGCCACCTCAAAATAAACATATTAACCCATGAGCACTGTCTTTGCTCCCACAAAATCATTTGTTCCAGTTTCTTTCTTTACATCAATCAATTCAGCTGCCATCTTTATAAAAAGTTACAAAATACACGTTTGGACTATATGACTTTTGACTCCTGATAAGATTCAGATGTGGTTATGTATTCCAAGAATGCTACTTTGAATTTTAATATTTACTTTCAATATTTACTACTATTATGGAGTGGTAAAGCTGGGTTGGGAATAATCATCTATTATTCACTCTGCAGTGTGTCAGAAGCACAACTTACCTTCCACAGAAAATTTGTACGTGCATTCATCTAGAATTTAATAGCGAATTCAGTAACTGTAGAGTTCAGTTTGGCAAGTACCTAACAAATGCTACATTATACTATTAAAGCTTAATTAAAATGCTGTTGTAATATACCACTGTAAGTGACACATACCAATTCTGAAAATGCTAATGGGCATCTTCTGACAACTGGTAACTTCTATCCTACATATACAGAAAAAAAATTAAGTTATTCATCTCATCCTGAAGAGCATATACAGTCTTCCTAGATGTTTTGTTTGTGCAGCTAATGCTTAATGCTGTAGGGCATGAACTTTCCAAAACAGTCCAGAAGTTCCTCTCCTGTGAAGGTTTTTCATTCCTAAGCACTCGGAGCAGCAGACACTGTTCACCTTGTCTGTCTTACCTACAGGCAACACAGCCACCTTTCACCTTCCCCACACCTTGCATATCCAAACACCTCCCTCCTAAAACCTAACACAAGTGATCTTACAAGCTCTTAATGACTTTTAAGCTCTAGTAGTTCCACACAATATACTTTCAAGCATAAACAGCAGTAACCTAAAGAGATGCTTTCTATAAACCTGTCTGATGGACCATCACTTCAAGTTTAAAAAAAAAAACCTGTCTATGGGCCATCCCCTCAAATTTAAAAAAAAAAAAAAAAAAAAAAAGGTTTTCTTTAATAATGGAGCACTAAAAACGTATCAGTTTGCAATGATCGCAGAGAGTTGTCCCTGAAAACTGGAAGCATCTCATTTCTATTAGATACCAAAAAGTCATTTTTAAAAGTTAATTAAGAAATATTAAATTTTAGTAAAGGGCAGCTTACTATTAAAAAAATAGTACAAAAACATTTAGCTTAGTATTACTTTTGGAGGAGAACAAGTTATTCGTTGTGTGTCGAAAAAGACACCTCTATTTTGACTGAAGTTTATTTAAGTATTTGCTGTAATCATCTTCAGGAAAGGTAACAATCATGTTACAACGCATCAGCCTCAAGTGCAATTTTATTAACAATAGTATGTTTCTCTTCTGTTGTCTCTTTTTAATGTTTTAAGATTTCAACACAGGTCACGGTAGATCTTGATCTGCTGACATCAAATTACTGCCCAACATCTGCAAACGCACATCTAAAAAGAAACCAAGCCTTGGTTTGTTTTGTTATTAAAAGCAAAAAAAAAAAAAAAGCTTTTCTGTTTTTTTAAACAGGATGATCCATCTTCCTCACCTAGAAGGATGGCAACTTGGAATTATTACAGTTACCAGGGTCCCCAAGTGAAAGTTTTTCCAAGTAGCTGAGACCCTGCAAGAGGAAACAGGGCAGGTGGCCTGCAGCACACACAGGCTGTGCTACACAGGAGCCAGCTAGGGTTGGTCCACGCTACCCTGACAGGTAGGAATCACGTGTCTCCATTATCTCACACCTTGTACCTCCAACTAGAAATAGAAAATAGCAGTAAAAATAAATAGAAACATAGGCTAATAAAAACAACCTTAAAAAAAAAAAAAAAGGGAATTTCTCTGAAAGTAACGAGAGCCTCTCTCACACCTACCGAATGGCTGAAGTACATCCAATAAACAAAGACTATCAAAACGTCAAAGTGCCCAGTTATCCGGACTCTCGCCACGGCCCCAGACAAAGCACTCGATGCTTTAGCAACGCCTCACACTACAAGTTTCTGCCGCTGCAGCCATGCGCTCAGAACGGGTGATAAAAAAGCAATGCAATTAAATAAAGAAAAGGGCCCCAAAAGCCACAACCAAGTTTTGACACGATTACTGACATCCTCCGCTGACCCTCGCGCCTCGCAAAACCGCCCGGGATCCCCCGTGTGCTCCCGATCCGCGCACCCTCCCGCGCCGCCAACCCCGGCACTGCCCCCCGATCGCTACGGCAGCGGCCCGAGGCCCCCACCGGGCGGGAGAGGTCGGCTCCGGGAGGGCAGGTACGACGCCGGGCCCCGTCCCGCCCGGCTCC